ACGGTGCATGAATGAGAGAGTGAGACGGGTACATGAATGAGAGAGTGAGACGGGTACATGAATGAGAGTGAGACAGATATATATGAGAGTGAGACAGATACATGAGAGAGAGAGAGACGGGTTTTATTTTAAATGAGCCCTATTTTGATGTTTAGTTTGTCTGTGCTTAGCGGAGCTGAAGCGTTTGCGCACTGAAAGAGAGACGGTTCTGTCTCGGGGCGAGAAAGAGAAAGACGTGCTGAGAGACACACTCACGGCCGCTCAACAGGAGGCGCAGCGAGCTCTGCATACAGCCCTGTCCGACCACCAGGAGGAGCTGGAGAGACTGACCAATCAGAAGGTCATACGAGCGCACGTGTATTCGTTACATGTGACACGTGTTTCAGGCGTATACATCACGTAATATCATGTGAATCCTGTAGGAGGCGCTGCGCTGCAGTCTGGAGGCGGAGCAGGAGGTGGCGCTGCGGCGTGTCCGTGAACACCTGGAGGAGCAGATGATCCGGCAGGAGAGAGAGCGAGATGAGCTTCAGGAAGAGCTGCGTTCCCTGCAGCGCGACAGGGACCAGAGTCTGCTACAGGCCGAGACGGACAAACAGCAGGTGAGGCTCGCACTGGAAGCTCAGGTGCGTCCGTGTCATTTCTGTCGTAACCGTCTGATGGCGTGTCCAGGCGCTGTCTGTGAAGGAGGCGGAGAAGACGGTTCTGTGGGAGAAGGTGAGCTCCCTACAGGCGGAGCTGAGCACTGCAGCGCTGGAGCTGGAGAGACTGAGCCGAGAGACGGCGCTCCTCAGAGACCAGGAGCGGGTCAGAAAACTACACTACTGCATGATTCAACACTAGCTGTTTCCATCCAGAGCTGCCAATTTCATTTACACGAAAAATTGAAACCTCTCATGAAAATTGCGGATAAAGCACCATTTTCATCCCTTGTATTTAAGAGAACAAAATCGTCACTTCCTTGGAATATGGCGCAAAGTATCAAATATAAAAATGAAAGTTGTTTAACCTGGGGAATCCATTGCAGCTCTTTTTTCCTACATGTTAAATTACTTGTACCTTTACGAAACACAGTACTCTGTCATGTTATCTTGCGTTCGGATGTGGATGCAAATACTTGTTACATATTGTTGTGCATTTATTCGGTTAAGGAAATTACCTGCCTCAGTTGAGTGCATACATTTATTTAAAAATTAATTATATTTAATTTTAATTAATAATTAATAAATAATTAATAATTTAATAATTAATTATAATTAATGCACATATTAAAAATTTTACATGCATCTTAGCATTTTTTTAATGCAGTATCCCAAAAATTTTATACAAATTTGTGGATGGAAACACCGATATTGTGTCAGTGACTCTAATAGTCTTAATAATCATGGGTGTGTTATAAACAGAGGTTTGAATTTGTCTGTAGAATGCCGTTGCGGCTCTAAACACAGAACTGCAGGAACTGCGCAGTCAGCTGCAGGACGCAGTCAGTGCACACAGGCGTGAGCTGCGCAGGCTGCAGGAGAACTGCGCCGAGCAGCAGACGCAAGCAGATACGGCGCTCAGAGAGGTTTGTGAAGGAAACTTTATCATGCCTGAAGAGCAGAACACAACAGTAAGATGTGTAATTGTTTCTTCTCTTGCAGTTGGAGGAGTGTCGCGCGCTGCTGTCATCTAGCGAGGAGAGCCGTGACAGTGCCAGACGAGAGCTGCTGGAGATGGAGAAACGCTTGTGCCAGATACGGGACGCGGGGGAGGGGCACAGGCGAGAGGGGGCGGAGCTACGGCACTCCCTCAGTGATGTCACCAAGGAGAGGGACACTCTCAGCCAATCAAACGTGCAGCTGAGGGAAACGCTGAGAGCATCAGAGAGCGAGAGAATCAGGTGACGGACGCTTTAACAAACTCTGTGTGCCAATCTATGGAAGCTTGTTTCCACCACGGGATAAGAGTCAGAATTGCTTGATGTAAACTTAGAATTGTGAGATATAAATTCACAACTTTAAGAAACCAGAGATATAAATTGTGAAGAAATCTTCTCAAAAAAGTCACAATTGTGAGATTGTAAGCTCGCATTTACCTTTTTAATTTTTTTATCCCGTAGCGGAAACAAGCTTCCATACAATTCACTTATACTGTGCTTATGAAAGTGAATGAATACTACATTGTTGAAGGGTTTTTATCTGTAATAGAACTAATGAGAACAGCAAGTCTGCAAACTGTCATGCAGATGATTTTCTTTCTGCTGATTGGAGGGACTTCACTGTGCTGTGTCTGTCTGTTTTCAGCGTGAAGCGCGTGTGTGAGGAGAAGGAGCAGAGAGTGTCTCTGCTGGAGGAGAGTCTGGCGTCTGCGCAGAAGGAGGTGTCTGATCTGCGCAGCTGTCTGCGCGAGGTGGAGAGGTCCAGACTGGAGGCGCGCAGGGAGCTGCAGGAGCTGCGCAGACAGGTCAGACCGAAGCGCTGTGAACGCTGAGTGCTGAGAGCCAGAGCTGGCATCTGATGTGTGACACTGTGCCCTCAGGTGAAGCTTCTGGACGTGGAGCGCGAGCAGAAGAGCAAGCAGCTGGCCGAGATGCAGACGCGTCTGTCGCTGGAGGAGCACAAAGACGAGGAGCGAGCCAGAGAACTGATCTCGCTCAAACAGAGACTCGCCGACACCGAAACTACCAGAAACTCTCTTCAGAAAGAGGTGAGATCTCCGTAAATCACATTCAATATGGGTCGATTTATGTTAATGTCGCCACCTAAATGAATGTCATCTAATAATGAAATTCCAGTCTAGTTTCAGCTGCATCTATAAATTTGTATTCTTTAAGAATCTAAAAATATTAACGGCAGCTGTCTCTCTCTCTAGCTGTCTTCTCTACAGCGGCGTCTGGGCGAGAGCGAGTCGCGTTGGCGCAGTCGTGAGCGAGAGTTGGCGTCTCAGCTGCAGGAGGCTCGCGGCTGTGAGAAGAAGCTTCAGGACGAGGCGCGTAACCTCTCGGTGCGCGCTCATTCGGCCTGCGAGGTGTCTGCGCAGACGCAGCTGCAGCTGAGTGAGGCGCAGGGCCGTCTGGCTGCGACGGAGGTGGAGCTATCGCGAGCGGAGGCCGCACGCAGGGATCTGGAGTTCAGGCTGTGCAGTCTGCAGTCGGCGCTCACGCGCACGCTGGGCATCGGGGCCAGTGGGCGGAGCAGCAGCAGGGGGCGGAGCCCGGCAGGCTCCTCCCCTTCCTCTCTGACCTCAGGGATGATATCTCGCCATCGGAGCGTGTCTCCGCTGCACTGCTCGCTATCGCCACCCAAAGGTCAGATTCAGTTTTTAAAGAAGTGAAATCTGTGGAATAAAGAGCTGCTTTTGGTCCGGAGAGGAAGTTCTGCATGATTTCTCTGCTGTCTCAGACGTGGCAGGTAACGTGACTCCTGATAACACCATGGTGTTGCAGCCGTTGTCTCCCGAGAGGACAGACGCCCCGCTGCCCGTCGCCCTGAAGGAGCTGGACCCGGAAACCCTGCGCAGCGGCCTCCGAGACTTCCTGCAGGAGCTGCGCGAGGCTCAGAGAGAACGAGTAACACGCTACACTCACAACTGTTCACTTCAAGAGCCATAACTACAACCATAATGATTATGACGGCTATATCGATAACTGTTCCGACAACATTAACTATGATTATAACTATTATGATAACTATAACTATAATGGTAACTATATTAAATGTACTATATTATATGTGTGCAGGATGAGGCGCGGGGTCAGCTGGGGTCACTGCAGAGGGAACTGGAGGAAGTGGCGGGAGAGAGAGACTCCGCCCACCAGCGCCTCGTTCAGCTACACAACACACTACAGGAGTGCCAAGAGGGTAACTTCCACTGTGTTTATATACAGCTAATTATACAACTTTTAAACAGAAATGTGCTTTTTTTTTTGCTTTATAATTCGAGAGCGCCCTCAAATGGAGGTTCTGTCAGGTTCGGCTGGTGTTGATGGTGTGTTTGTGTAGATAAGCGTGCGGTGGATGAGAAGCTGTCGGCGACTCAAGCTCTGCTGCAGCAGCAGGAAGAGTCCCTGCGGAGAGCAGACCGAGACCGCCGAGCGCTTAACGAGCGAATCAAAGAGCTGGAGAGACTTTCGCTGAACACCGAGACCGAGCGCAAGCGTGTGGAGGTGCGTCTTATTTCATCTACACTAACGTCGTCTGGAGTAGTGGTAACGTAGTCATCGCCCCCTGCAGGAGCAGTGCAGTATGCTGCGTGCCGGCGAGGCGCGTCTGGAGGCGGAGCGTCGGCGGCTGCGTGAGGCTCTGGAGGCGGCTGAGGGGCGGGGCACACGGGTGGAGCTGGGGAGGCGGAGTCTGGAGGGAGAGCTGCAGAGACTGAGACTGAGTCTGACCGAGAGAGAGATGGAGATCCAGACGACTCACGACCGGCACGACAGCGCCAGCAAACAGGTCCTGAGCACAAGCTACCCTGCCTCAGAACCGGATTCCTCGACCGCAGTGATTGGTCACACGCTTGTATGTGTTTCAGGTGGCAGAGGGCGAAGCTCGCCTCACGTCTCTTCAGCGTGAAGTGGATCGACTGACGGCGCTGCTGTCTAAAGCGCAGGATGGAGAGAGCGTTCAGAAAGAGCGAGCGCTTGCTCTCTCCCAGAGCCTGCAGGAAGCCAGCGCCGCCCACAGCGCCACCCAGGGGCGTCTCGCCACACTGCAGAAAACACTGGGACAGACCGAGACCGAGCGCAGACAGCTGCAGGTGAGGGGCGAGGTCGACGGGCTTTACCATAGCATAACTATAACTATTACCATAACTCTAATATAACTATTATGATAACTATATAGATAGCTATAACTGTTACAATAAGTATTACGTTAACTATAACTATAAATGTTATGATAACTATTATGATAACTATAAATATTACAGTAACTATTATGATAACTACAGCTATAACTACAAATATTACGATAACTTTAATCATAATAACTATTATTTAACTATAAATATTCAGATAACAGTTGATGTTGTTCCTCTGCTGTGTGGTTCAGGAGCGTGTGGATGGACTCAGAGCGTCCGTGTCGGACGGGAAGCGTAATATCGCAGTGCTCACGGAGCGTGTGCAGACACTGCAGTCAGAGCTGACCCAGAGTCAGCTGCGCAGATCTGAGCTGGAGACGGAGCTGCACAACACACAGGAGGTGAGCGTCATTTCAGTTCGCCATTTAGCATTTAGCTTCGAATGTGAATGCGGCAAACAGACTTAAAGCCGGTTCACGCAGAACGGTTTTTGCATTTAAAAATGCGAGCTGCAGAGCCGCAGTGGAAAAAAAATTAAATATGTGACTTTTTAAAAAAAACTGAATATTGGACACATTTTAACTTGAATTTTATACTTTAAAAAATGTGAGTCAAATTCGTCCATTCTAGTGCGTTTACAATGCAATGCAAGGCAGTGTAGTGGAATGCAAAAATACGTTCAATGTGAACATCCTTAAAATGCAACTGAACTGAGATCATATTAAATATGCATTGAGACCAGCTTCATGTATTTTATTGGTTTATTCAAGGGTTTTCTCATGAGATTGCGTTGAAAACAATAGTGTGAATGAAAAGAGGTCTGAGACCTGATAAATAAAGAGATCTGACTTCACATTCAATAGCATTGACAGTGTGAATGCAACATTCTTCTTTACTTGATTCACGTTGTTCTAGATTTGTTCTTTTAAAGATTCAGTCTTTCTCCGGTCTCACGCAGGCTCTGCGACTGAAGTCCGACAGTCTGACCGAAGCCCAGCGCAGTCTACAGTCTGCGCAGACAGACAGAGTGTCTGCAGAGGAGCGTCTGCGCAGCCTACAGAGAGCCGTGGCCTTACTGGAGACCGAGAAGAGAGATACAGAGAGACAGGCCGTCCGGCTGGAGAAGGACAAGGCCGCGCTGAGAAACACACTGGATAAGGTGAGACAGGCCAGCTGTCTGTCTGCACGCCGTGTTTAAATGCAGGATTGAATCCAGCGAGTTCACGGTCTGTTTTGCCTCGTCAGGTGGAGCGTCAGAAGCTGAAGACGGAGGAGAGCAGCATGCGTCTGTGTGCGGAGAAAGGCCGTCTGGATCGCTCGTTCAACACCGTCGAACAGGAGCTGCAGGACGCGCAGAGACAGATCGTGCTGCTGCAGGTACGGCGTTATCAGCTCGCTCACATGCTCACGCTAATCATGAGCTGCATTAACAGTGTCATCCTATAATGTGTGTGCGATTGTTTTTCATCGCTGTAAGGAAGAGTTGTGCGGTGTCAAACAGAAGATTGCGTTATGTCTGGTGAGTAAAGGCCCGTTCACACCAAGAATGATAACTATATCGATAACTATATTAGTGCCCACACCAATGAACGATAGCTATTACTATACTAGCGTCTATGCCAAGTAGAAGAACTATAAAGATAACTATAACAATAACTATGTTGGTGTCCTCACCAATGAACAAAAACTATAAAGGTAACTATAATGCTATCTATATTACTGTCTACACCAATGGACGATAGTTACAACAATAACTATATTAACAGGTGATAACGAAATATCGTTCTGGAAGTGATTCTGATGATATCGTTCCTCTGTGTCGTTATCTTTACCGTTGCAGTGTGGACTTAACTGTTCTCAATTAGAGTAATTATTATAACTTCACAGTTGTTGCTATAGTTATCCGCGGTGTGAGCGGGCCTTAAGAACATGCCGTGTTTGTGTTTAAAGCGCTTCGTAGTGCAGTAGAGCAGCAGCATCAGGAACATACTCGCCGTGGTGTTGGGGTTGCTATGGCTTCTGCTGTTGCTATTGTGACAGTGGGTTGTCTCTGTTACTTGATTGGTTACGGACCAGCGGTGTGTATGTGTGGCGTGTTTTTGTCTCAGGCTCAGCTGGCGGAACTGGAGCAGAGTCCCAGCGCGAGCGAGCAGGCGGCCCATCGGGAGGCTGAGAGACTGCGCGTCAGTCAGAGAGAGGCGGAGCGAGCGCTGGCAGCCCGAGAGAGAGCGCACCGGCAGCGCGTCAGGGGTCTGGAGGAGCAGGTGTCCACACTGAAGGAGCAGCTCCAGCAGGAGATCCGCCGCAGGACACCGGCACTGCCGTCTGCAGGCAGCTGATCCACACCCATTTCAGTGCCACCTCTTTACACTGGGTTTTGTGTGCTAAATGTGCACTTCTGTATTAATGCAATACAGAAGGGCTGAATCTATGGAAGCTTGTTTCTGCCACAGGATTAAAAAAAAAAAATCTCAGTTCACTTTTTTCCACAGTTCTGAGTTTATATCTCACAATTTGGATTTTGTTTACTGCAAAGGAGGAAAAAAAAGAATTGCGAGATATTAAACTCAGAATTTTGACTTTTCCTGCGATTTTGAGTTTATATATTCTATATAAATAGAAAAGGTAATTGCAACTTTTTATTCATTCTGACTTTTCTTTTCAGAATGGCGAGTTTATATCTCACCATTGCGAGTCAAGATCTTACAATTCTGAGTTTATAGCTCACAAGACCCTAGCTAAAATGTCACAATTACCTTTTTTATTTTATTCTGTGGTGGAAACGAGTTTCCATATAAATCTTATAAAGCCCGTCAGAGTACTAGTTACCCCAAAACCAAAAGAAAAAAAGTATTTTGTTTAAAGAAAGTTAAGCCTAATTTTTTTTTTACAATGTGACTTTATTATAATGAGAATTAAGCACAGTTTATTCTAATAATTCATGTTACTGTAATGAGAGAGTTTTCCAGACTCACATTCCCTGAACACTGACACACTCGACACACTTGAGTATTTTACTGTAATATTTATAGTTCATGTGAGATTCAGTAACTGACTTGAAGTTAATAGAACCAATTTTTTTTTTTATATCTGAAGCAATTGTGAACTGTAATGTTTAATAATTTGTAATGCAGTAATATTACTATAATGTTTTTTCCTCACCTGATTGTTGACAGGTCAGTTTTAATAATCAGTGATGTAAACTGGGTCCGTGTTTCATCCGATCATTCATCTGGCAAACGAAAAACGGTAAAAAACGGTCAAGATTTCATTTTTCCGATTTTCTGTATGAACCAAAAATTGAAACTTGGCGTTCCGTGAAGGAATACACTTGAGAAATGGAAAGATATCTTGATTTGTTTAACAAACGGAAAATGATATTTTGGCTCGATATCTCTTATTTTCATACGCTGATGGTGAGGATTGTTTATTACTTGTATGTGTAATAACATTAATTATGATTGTGTTTTTCTAGATGCCACTGAAGTGTCACTGGCTAAAAGTGAAATGTTTGGGTGTTACTGTACTTCCGCTGGGCCTATAGTGCAGCGGGACTTCGTCCTGATACTAAAGTTTTAAAAGAAACAAAAGTATTTTTAATCTCACCAAATCAATAATTCCGGTCCTATATTTGTCTGTTATTTTTCGCTTCCAAAACTGTATCAGAGTGATGCTTCTACGCCTTTTCGCGTGGAGCTCCTCAGACGAAATTTAAATTTTCAAATATATATATATATAATTGTGAAATAGTAAAATCAATATTAATTTGAAACATTTAAATAGTGCACTGTGCACAGTATAAATCAGGGTTTTTTAAAGACATCCTGTACACTGTGTATGGCAAGCCGTTTTAGCTTAAAATATTCCCAGCGTTACTCGTCGTAATTGCATTTTTACTAGTAAGAATTCTGAGGTAGAGTGAATTAAATATTGAATACATAAACCGATTTGTAAACCACAAGCAAAATAAGAGATGTCGAGCCAAAATCTTGTTTTCCATTTTGTTCAACAAAACCAGTGTTACCAACTTAGCTAAACTTTTCACCCTACCCTAGCAACTTTTTCTTCCAAAAGCACCTGCCAACAAATGTAGCTATTTTAAACATTTATTTGGCAACTTTTAGCAACTTTTGATAAGTGACTCAAACGATAAAAAGGCACACATTTTCCATCTAAATCACACAAAATGAGGAAACCAAAGATGCCTAGCAGTACACACATCATGAATTATGTTAGCTGCTATTTGCAGTTGTTATCCATTATTCATTACCCGTTGTAACCCGAAAACACAAAATACAATGAGTAATTTAAAATGCAGGTAAAAACCTGTGAAAAATCAATACGGAAAATGCCTTCATATAACAGCCCTATTTTTATACTAACTGCTGATACACTGCTTAAAACTATAATTGTTCAGAATGTGTAGTTTTATAGTTTACTAGCTAATAAAAAACTTAAATTGTAATTGTTAAAAAATTTGTAAGTGTTCAACAATAGAGTTATTTATATTTTAATATTATATTATTTTATGAACAAATCTAAATTAACACATTAAATATTTGCTTCCTAAGATTTGATGTAATTTTGCGTCATAATTACGTAATAATGTCATCGTGCAATGACGAGCTTCCTTTAGCAACTTTCCCTGAAAATTAGTTGACACTGAACAAAACGATCTTAACATTTCTCGAGTGTATTCGTCCACGGAACGCCAACTTTCGATTTTTGGTTCATTCAGAAAAACGAAATATCGGCAGGTTTTTACTGTTTTTGGGTTGCCAGATTGAACTGAATGATCGGATGATACACAGACCCAACGGATGTATCTGCTCGGAATCTGAAATATAAACATCTCTCTTACGGCATTCACGTTGATACGAGTTTTGCTGTTGATTTTTTGCCGTTGGAGTGTCCAGTTTCACACTGAGATGAATTCATTCACACAAGACCTAAGAAAACGTTAAATTCTCTGAAAATGTGAAAAGTCTGTCAGAGCTACACAGAAACTAACGGTCAGTGTTGCCAGGTCCACGGTTTTCCCGCGGAATTGAGCTACTGTAACACTAGCCGTAGACCCCAGTAACGTGAAGTTTACCAGGGGAACCCCGCCATAAAACGTGTATTTTACCCCCCAGAACGCGATTGGGCTAGTTTTGGGCTTGTTTTGAGTAGCAATCGGATGGGTTTTGTTGTGGAAACCTGGCAACCCTGCTAACGGTCTCTGACGGGAATGGCGCGAATTACTGTGAAACACTTGACGGCAAACTATATCAATAATTGTTATTTTAATTCATTTTCAAAAGCAATAATGTTAAGGTGCAGGTTACATACAGTTAAGTCAGAAGCAAAGAAAACCGATCTCGAGCGATCATTATCACGTAAATGGCTTTGTGTATAGTTACTAAGAAACCATCAATTAAAATGGCATTTTAATTGATAGTTTTCAACTCTGCTCAGTCTTTTGATTTGTGTGATATAGTCTCAGTTTTGTTTTTATACACATTAAAATGCTTTAAGGTTTCATGCTTACGGACTATGCATTCAAATGGTACAGAGAAAATTTTTTTTATTAAATTGCAAAAATAGTTAGGACCAGCTAATACAGTAAATGCGTGGTATGCTGCGTTCTTCAGGTGATTGTTGATGACAGATCAGTGCTTACAGGTCTTGACCTCTGACCTGAGATCAGGTGTGAGGGTTCGAGTCTGGGTTCAGTGTAACTCACCCCAAGACAAATAAACAAGTAAACAACAACGACAGCTCTGGACCACAAGCAGTAATAATACAAACGGTTCCTCCCGCACCAGTGTAACAGATACAATAGCACCAGCGGCGACATACAGGCCAAATATCCATCCAAACCATCGATTATTACAGTAAATATCAGTTTACAGGAGCCCAGATCATACCAGCTAACACAAATATGTTCTGCTAACGTTCCCATTAATCTTACTGGAAGAACATTTGCTGAGATGCTGGAGAACTATAGGAAGAGGAAAGAATCTGATGGCTTTAGGTCTGAAACACATTTTACGCAAGTGCACAAACACAAGCGTGTTGCGTTCTGAAACGGCTGCAATCCACAACCACAAGGGGCGCTATAGCGCATATTAGCGCAAACTGTCTTCTTCTATGGCGAGTTTTTTTACCCAGTCTTGCTAGGTTAAACTATTGACATGTTTATAGCAGCTGCTTGACTAACAGCACATCTGGTTTAACGTCACAGACATCTGAGGTTAAACTGAAGTTATGAAACGGCTCCGCGCGCTAGCATTGTGTTTGCACACTTGCGTAGATGTTTTTGTCCTAAAGCTGTAGTGTGTGTGTGAGAGAGAGTGTGAGTGTATGTGTGTGTGTGTGTGTGCGAGTGAGTGAGTGAGTGAGTGAGTGAGTGAGTGAGTGAGTGAGTGAGTGAGTGAGTGAGTGAGTGAGTGAGTGAGTGAGTGAGTGAGTGAGTGAGTGAGTGAGTGAGTGAGTGAGTGAGTGTGTGTGTGAGTGAGAGTGTGTGTGAGAGAGAGAGAGTGTGTGTGTGTGTGTGAGTGTCTGTGTGAGAGAGTGTGTGTGTGTGAGTGTCTGTGTGTGAGTGTGTGTGAGAGAGAGAGTGTGTGTGTGAGTGAGTGAGTGTCTGAGTGAGTGAGTGAGTGAGTGAGTGAGTGTGTGAGTGTCTGTGAGTGAGTGAGAGC